TTGAAGCCAAAGACAGGGCATGTTCAAGCCCACAAATCTATATAAAATACATACACAAAGGTTGATTAATAGTAATTACAACTGAAGTATTATAAGGAACTGAGCCACAAACATATTGATGCAATTATTGATGAAAACTTCTGAGTGAAAGTAAATAAGAGTGTATAAAAATAATAATATATGAAGCACACTGTATCAGCTATATCCAGTGCTGACAAGGCCTTTTGTCTAATATCAGTGTTCTTGGTGGAAGGTCCTAGGGGCAAAGCCCCACTAAAGCTGCAGCATTTCAAGCTTTTGAAGCAAAAAAGATAAAAATGCAAGCATTAGAAACAAGGAAAAACCCCAAAAAATTTTATTGATAAAGACAAGGCTAGATATACAAGTTTCTGATTTTAGCAGCAGCCATAGAGAACCATATTTATTTTAAAACTTCACTAAATTATGTCATATTGCCTGACAGGGTAACATATATTGAGCAATCCAAGGTATATTACTTAGATTTTATAAGTATTATACATCAGTATGTGGACTGGATAAGTGGAAAGGGGCACTATACTTTGGTATAGTTGTATGAATTACATTTTTCTCCAGTGTACAGTTGTTAAATTCAGCAATGAAAACACTTGTTCTCATAGCACCTGTACATAATGCATATTAAGCTTCTGAGCACAGTATACATTAACCAAAACAACCAAAGAATACCTGGTGTCAAGCATCACACATATATTATTACAACAAATACACATGCATTCCATATATCATTGAAAGCAGTTACCTATCTCCTGTCTAACACTAATGGAAGCAACATGTAATTCAATATTTTGTATCCTTTAGCAAACAAAACTTCATGCAACTACAAGAAAGCAGAAAATACTTCACCTAATCATCAAAAACTCACAATATCATAACACAACTAGAGCTGGATTGCTGATTTGATTAACCAATATAGTTTAGAGAGGTAAATAATGAAACTGAAGGGAGAGTGTAGACACAGTACAGTTTAGCCTTAGTTTTAAATTTCACATACGTGATGCAAGACATTACATTACCCAGAATAAATGTTAAAAGTTAAATAGGTTAATGTTAGACCATAAACACATTTTTATTACTGTTTTCAGTGGTAACTGAAAAAAAAGGTAAAATTTCTAACATGTCCAGTTTTTTTATAGATGGAAAAATCCTTAGATTTTATTGCTGAAAATCATGATGTCTTAGTGAAACTTAAATCTTCAAAGGAGTGATGCTCCTGGCTATGATAAAACTAATCATGAAACTTTGAATAGTTGTTAATAGTTGAATAGGAGCTTTGACATTTATATTTCTAGATTAAAAAGATATTAATAAATTCCTGATTTTTTTGAAAGATTCCTAACATGGTCTCTAATTTAAGATAAAAGAGGTTCTTCAGTAAATTCAGGAAATAACAGGAGTAATGTTGTATTTTGAAAGAAATACGTTTAATAAACTGAAGTTATAAATTTTCTAAGTTTCCAAACACTGGTTGTAAAAAGTCATAGAGATCACTGTTATAATAGAAACTTTTTACTTTTATGTTGGGTCCCCAGATGATTCATAGGTAAGCTTAAAGGCTTGTATGCTAAAATTTGGGTTTTGAACCTCTATGGGCCACACCAATCAAATAGGCATAATTGTAAAAACTGGGTGGGTCAAGGTTGCTCCAGTTGTTTCATCTAAATTGTTTTTGATTATTGCATATGAAAGTAAGAGTTTCAATTTGAACATTCTTGTACACCTTATAATAATAATAATAATAATAATTATATTACTAATAATGATAATAAAAAGAAATAGTAATAGTAAATTACAAAGTTACCTTAGTTGTTTCCTCAAACTTGTGTGTCTGATAGCTTCACTTTGCATTCCTGGGCTCTTTTTATGATTTGGAATTTTTTTCACATTGACTACTGCCTACTCTCTTATTTTATTTTTTTGGAAAAGACTGATTTTGGCTTTCTCTCCAAGCTAAGCTACATCATGCAGCTAGTGAGATCTGTATTTAGAAACACATTCTTTGTATGTAACCTAAATTGTAGCTTCCTGGTTAAGGTCACAGTCTGTTATACAGGGCATTGCGGGTTTGATCCTACCTTAGTACTCATTATTCTTTTATGGTTTTTTAATTAAATATTTTTTTGTGAATATTTCTTTTTGAAACATGGATAAGTAGCTTATAAATGATATGGACACCACAGCAGATGCATTCTCTGTTTACTTGTTGTTGATGATCGAGTTAAGTGTCATGTAATATAGATACTGTGTTTCAAAAGTTACTGGAGAAAAAGGAGGAGAAGTATTCATTTTTCTCTTACTGTAGCAATTAGCTCTGTTATTACTGTAAAGCAGATGTTGAATTTTTTTTTTCACATTTGACTTAAGATTGTTTCAAACTGCATATTAAAAGTGGAACAGGGCTTCTGGCTAAGTGTCCCAATAATCCAGAAACATTAAAACTATCCGTGCTGTACAGAGAGTCATTGATAGTTCTCTGCTAACCAACTTTTTATATAATTTAGCCAGTGGAACTACTGTTCTTAATTGTTTGTCATTCAAGTTTTATGGTTGGTGAAAGCCGATATGTTACTAGGAATTCAGCAGTACAGTGGTTGTATGCTGCTACTTCTATCGTGTTACTCATGTTTTCACTTCTTATTTTCTGTTCTCCCATGTTACAGCCCACTAGGTGGCTGCATGTTTTAAGTACTTGTGTATGAATTTCTCTTGCAGGCTTTTTGCAAGTTAACAGGTTTAAGTATCTGCAGTAAGACATGTACCATCATGTTTAATTAACTCCTCAGGGTTCGTACGCGTCCTGGAA